GTTGTTTGGATGGAAGATGTTAATAATGGTTTGGTGATTACTGTGTCTGCTTTTAAATTGTTATCCATTTTTAATTTCTTCATTTAATAGAATTATACTAGAGCCGCTACTGACTTAAGGTAATTAAGCCGGCTTATCTGCGTTTTTATTTGAAATACAAATATATCTTCTGTTGTTTAGTTTTCAATAAAATCCTTTAAATGGTTTTATCTGTTTAAAATAAAAAATGTGCTTACAATTTTTATCTTCTGTAATTAGAAAACACTTTAATTTCACTCTTGGTGCAAACTTGTATTTAAATTTTTGGTATAAACCAACAAAAAAACATGTTTTATTCTGAGCTGAAATTTATTGACACCTTACTAATGAGTCTCGAACTGGATTCCAATAAAAACTTTTATTTAATTTAAAATTAGATATCTACGCTACTAACATTGTTGCCATTTTGCTAGTATTTTACTCGCTCTTGTTCCTATAAATTTTCAAACGAAATTATGTGCCAACTATATATTTAAATCTTTTGCACAATACTCTACAAGGTTTCACTCACACTGAACTGAATTTTTGTACTGCTAACTTAACTCTCATTTTATCTTTTGCAGTAGTTCACGTGTCTCCTCCTGTTTGGTGGCCCAATGTAGACCTGTTTATTCTTGAAGGTTAACAAGCTGTTTCAAATATTCCCATTTAATGGCATTCCCTACACTACCTTTAGAGCTTACATGGAAAAGTTAAATTTGCACCTAACAAATTAGACATAATAATATTAAATGCATCTCCATCAAAAGTCAAACTTTTAACCCTTTCGCTGCGGACGACGCACATGTGCGGCGTAGCGAAGTTGAGCCATAAGCGGAAGACGCATATGTGCTGCGTCGGTACACTTTCATATTTTCTGAAAGTAGCATAGCATATAAGTTTATAGAATTGTATCAGCATATTACTAGATATTCAGCCTATTATTAGGCAACTTTCGTTTCTAGTTATGATTTTTATTTTACACTCTAGATCAGGGTTGTCCAACTGGCGGCCTGCGGGCCGCATCCGTCCCGCGAGGCTATTTGTTGTGGCCCACGTAAGATTTTCGAAAAGCATATTTTTTCTTTAAATGCCACTGTAAAAAAAAAAAAAAGATTTTTTAATTTATTTTATATTTTATGGTTTAGCTGTGTTTTTACATCACAAGTACTGTACAGCGTGCCGCTTCGCGGACGTGTACCGAACACAATCGTCCTCCATCACTATGAGAACTGCACTGATTACTGTGCATCACAGTTCACGCAGACCCGGCAGACCACACCTCCCGCTGCTTACCATCCGTCGGCAGCCGCTATCATAGATTAGAGGAGCCGCTATCGTCAGAGAACTACGAACGCAGTGTTCGTAGTTCTCTGCTATCGTGCCAGTGTGCTACTAACACGACTAACAGTGAACTAGATTAATTATTTGTCTTGCTTCCTCTTATACAATAATGAGCGTAAAACCAATAAAACGGAAAATTGATAGTGAGAACAGAATTTATAAAGAAAGTTGGGAGAGTGATTACTTGATTGCTAACAATAATGGAAAGTTGCAGTGCTTAGTGTGCATGAATGTCGTTTCAGTGCCTAAAGAATATAATGTGAGAAGACAATACACAACAGTGCATGAAAATAAGTATGCTACGTACACAAATGAAAGTCGGCGTGCGCTAGTTGCAGATTTGAAGAAAAAGCTTAAACAGCAAACTGGTATGTTCAGTAAAATATTACACTCTCAAACGCATTCTTTGCATGCATCTTATGCCGTGTCGCTTGAGCTGGCAAAGGCAAGAAAATCTTTCACTGATAGCCATTTGATAAAAAAATGTGCTGTTGAAATGGCCAAAGCTTTCGGTGATTCTAAAATGGCGTAGAAATTTGAATCAGTGCCACTTTCACATCAAACCATACAAAGAAGGATTGTTGCTATGGGTGAGCAAGTAGAAAAATCTATGCTTAGCCTGGTTAAGAAAAGTTCATATTTCTCACTTTGTTTGGATGAAAGCACTGATCAAACCGATGTTAGTCAGCTGTTAATATTTGTGCGCACTACTTTTGATGATTTTACCAGTAAAGAGGAGTTATTTGATATTTGTCCTCTTTATGGAACAACGAAAGGAAAAGACATCTATGAGGCTGTGAAGAAAACAGTTGACAGAATTGGAGGCTTTGATACATGTTCAGCCATAGCAACAGAAGGGGCCCCATCAATGACACGTAAAAAAATTGGATTAGTGGGTCTGCTTCGAGAGAATGGTGTCACTTGCCCAACAATTCATTGTATTACACACCAGGGAGCTTTATGTGGAAAATCAGTCAAGGAAGATCAAGTTTTCCAAACCGTGATTAAGATTATAAATATGATTAGAGGTGGAAATCGATCTCTTTTACACAGGCAACTTAAGCAGTTTTTAGTGGAAACAGAGGCTGAATATGGAGACTTGCTAATGTACAACCATGTAAGGTGGCTGAGTGCAGGAAAGTGCATGGAACGATTTTTTGCCATAAGAAAGGAAATCCCTGCATTCCTCAACAAATACGTTTCATCTGACACAACTGAACTGGAAGAGAAGTTTAAGGATCTAGAATTCTTAAGACAGTTAGCTTTTATAACAGATCTGACTAATCATCTTAACATGTTAAACTTGAGTCTTCAAGGAAGAAACCAGACGGTTTCAGATTTGATCGGAATGATAAACGGATTCCGGAATAAGCTGAACGTGTTTAAACGTGCTTTGGAAAATAACAACCTGACACACTCCCTAGCTGTCTGCAAATAGCAGAAGAATTCAACGGTAAGGAAAATATTGAGTTTTCATCCTGCATTTCACAAATTGAACAAGTTATTGATGAATTCAATACAAGATTTAAAGAAATTGAAAGTCTCAAAAGTAGTGTACTACTTTATAATAACCCTCTTGGAGCAACCATTGATGATCAACCACCCAACTTACAGCTTGAGTTATGTGATCTTCAAGCAGACATATTCCTAATCACCAGACAAGAAAAGGGACCTGAATTTTTCAAATTATTGTCAAAGGAGAAATTCCCAAACCTGCGAGATTTTGGACTGAAAATGACGTCAATGTTTGGAAGCACTTATACATGTGAAAGTGCCTTTTCCTCCATGAAATACATAAAAAATAAAAACAGAAGCAACCTTACCGATTCTCCCTTAAGTCATCTTATGAGAGTATCTACAACTGAACTGGAGGTGGACATTTCTTCATTGGTGGATGAAGCCGATCAACCACAGTCCTCACACTAATTGGATACATCTTTTCGTTGCTTTTGCAATGTTTGTCTTGATTATTGAAAAGTGTTATCAATAAATTTTTCGTTTATAAAAACATATAGTTGTTGAGCTATAAAAGAAATAATACTCTTTTTTGTTTTAATTATTTTTATACCTCACTTTATTTTGTTATTACTTGTAACAAAATTATTATATGGCCCGCGACAACATGCAAGGTTTTAGTTTTGGCCCTTGAGGCATTGCAAGTTGGACACCCCTGCTCTAGATGGCGTCCCAGTTTAGGAATGTAAGAATTGAGTATTTATTGTTTTTTTTTATTATAACCTTATTTTTGTCAACAGAAAAACGTGTTATATGCTCTGGTATGTAAGCATTATATTGATTATTAATCAATACTTAATTGCAGATTTAAGTAAACCGGGACCTTCTAGTACAAAAAACGTAAGGTTATACAAGTGAGAAATCCTAATAAGTTAACAGTGGAAAACATTACGTTGGTATTAAAAAATAAGTTTGCATATTATTCAGTTATTACTTATTAATTCTTACATCCTATATAATAAATTTTATGGCAAAAAAAAAAACACTGAGCAAGTTTAGACACAAGATCTTAGTTATCAGAAGTTCCATTTCCAGGAAAAGGCAGGATACAAAATGTTGAACACCTTTAAAAATTGATGTCACCAATGAATGCAGTAAAACTTGGGTAAAAATGAGTAAACTGCGAAAAAAGATGCTGAATGTGTTCTACCAAAAAGATAATATTTACCATTGTTTAGAATGTGAAGGAAAACCAGGACTTTGAGTATGTTTTCAGCAATACCATAGAAAATAAGAGACCCCATATTTTGCAAAATCTTTTTTTGTTATTTTTATTTGTTGTAAATAAACATTAAACTTTCCATAAAAAAGTGGTTTTAAAACATTTAGTGAAGGCCCACATGTGCGACTTCCGCATATTTCAATGAAACAATTCACATATGCAGATGCCACACATGTGCGACTAGAAAAAAATTTTTATGCAAACCTACAAATATGGTTTTATAGAGTCTTAATAACATAAAATTAAACTTGTATATATGATTATTTTCATTTTTAAGAGAAAAAAGTGAGCCGCACACACAGTACCTACTAGTAATTTCTGCTGCAGTGAAAGGGTTAATTAATATGCCAGTACTTTCCAACTGTAACAAGCACCCTCTCATAAAGGTAGCCTTTTCTTCAGCCCATAAAGAATGAATTAAAAAATATGCTATCAGGACTTTCCATTAAAAGTCCTGATAGGATATTTCCATTCCTATGTTTATGTAGCCTACTGATATACTTTCTGTCCAATGTACATGCCAATGTACTCCATTGAAAGTCCTGATAGGATATTTCCATTCCAATGTTTATGTAGCCTACTGATATACTTCCTGTCCAATGTACATGCCAATGAATAAACATTCCATCCATCATAAATGCATGAAAAAGCTTTTTTCGTTTTCAATATCCACCTTAATTTTAATAGCACTCCATGCTTCAGTATTATATACAGGTGTGCCATTTACAACACTATATCATCATCCAACACTATATCACTACATTCATTTCGAAAGAGTGAATGGATGTGGTAAAACTGTTTTCTCAAACATTTTTTGTAAGCTGATGATGAATAAAAGTTCAATATTAATGCAAAGCTCCTTAACTCCAAATATCTAGAAATATATACAAATACAAAAATATTGGGAATAAGCAACACTTTTAATATACTATTATTTTAATTTTTGAGCAAAATATACTTTTTAGTTTCTTTTATATGACTGAGGACACTGAATCCATTTGTCAATCAAATTTCTTCCTTCAATACTAATGACTGGGCTTCAGATATGTTCTTCTCTTTTAATAGCTTATCCAATAGGCTATTTAAACTTTTTATTCTCTTTCTTTGTTTACTTATTTTATATTGATTACACTTGTTCACTTTTATGTACTTATAAACAGTTTCATGAGCAATTTTCCAAAATTTCCTCCGATACTGCATATTATTCAAATCTGATAACTTAAAATCGCCAAAGTATACTGGTTCTCTTCTGGACCTATAAGTATAAAGAACTTGTAACAAATGAGAAAACAAAGTTCAATGAGAGTTACCTTGAATTACAAATGTTTGTACTAGAAGGTTCACTTGATTGTAAGACTTCTGGATTTTGTGCTACGTTTGAAGGACCAGCTGGCAATATATTTCCATCGCCAGCACCATTGCAATTCTCAGATACTTCAATCACTTCAGAGATATCCAAAATTTCATCTGCAAACAATAAGATTACTAAGACATTAATGAAAAAATATTTTGTTGTCTTGTTTGTTGTTGTGTGTTGCTGTATATCTCATATAGTTCTTACCTGGTCTTGGTAAAAACAAACTCGGCACGGCTGTTCTCTTAATGCCCCTATTTCCAACTTTGATTAAATCCTCCTCTTTAAAATGACAACCGCATACACGAAAATTTTTATAAATAGTGTCTGTTGCAGCATTTTCTAATTTAGGGCTCTTAATAGCATTCACCCATTTATCAAACATATCCCTATAATTTCGTGGACTTGGAAAACGGTACTGCTTGCTAGTAGTATCCATGCAATCTGGAACACAACATCTTCTTCGTTGTTCATTTCTTCGTTTTTCCATTGTTATTTCATATAATATTTTCGATTTCGATTCCATAATTAAAATTATCTAAAATTGTATTTTTTGCACTATTTTTAAAAATTAAAAACAAAACAAATATGACATTTGACTTGACATCCCGGCACATGAACGAGCTGGGAACGAGACTAGCAGTGCTACCAAACGGAAGGGTGCACAAATAAAAACGTGCGTTGACCTTGGGTATCTTTTGTTTTAGCAATCTAGACGTAGAACGTAGAATCACAGAAGACAGAAAAGAGATTAATATGATCTACTATTATATTATTTATCTATGAATATGGTTAATAATTTAGTACGGTTGAGTGATGGGTTGAATGTTTGATAAATGGGTGAATGCTGTTAAGAACCCTAATTAGAGAATGTTGCAACAGAAACTATTTATAACAATTTTCGTGTATGCGCCAGTTATTTTAAAGAGGAAGATATAGTTAATGTTGGACATACCGGTATTACGAGAATAGCCGTTCTGAATTTGTTTTTACCAGCACCTGGTAAGAACTATTATGCCAATATGTCACGTGATCTTTTACTTATAAAATTAGTTAATTATAAATTTAACCTAAAATTATATATATTATAAAACCAGTCTTACTTATCTTACTATGTGAATTATTTGTAGGTGGTGGTTCAACGGTGGTTCTACCGAAAGGAGGAAAGACGGGAGGAACTACCGTTGTTAAGAATAAAATTGCTAAGCCAATTCGTCAAATAGCTCGACGATTACCACAGGCGAAAAGAGAGGAAGCTGAAACGATTGTTCGGGAAATGAAGAAAGACAGGGTAATAGAACCTTCTATGAGCCCATGGGTCTCACCAGTGGTCCTGGTTAAGAAGAAAGACGGAACGACGAGGTTCTGTGTGGATTATCGTTTGCTGAATAACGTTATTAAGAAAGATAGTTATCCTCTGCCTCGGATCGATGAGACATTGGACACATTGGCTGGAAGTAAATTATTTTCTACTTTGGATTTGAAGTCTGGATACTGGCAGGTAGAAATGACCCGGTAGATAAAGAAAAGACAGCCTTCACCACAGGACCTGGATTATGGCAATTCAGCGTTATGCCATTTGGACTCTGTAATGCTCCTGCGACATTTGAGAGGCTTATGGAAAATATGTTTTATCTTAGAAAACATACCTAGTTTATCTAGATGACATAATCGTCTTGGGGGAGACATTTGAAGATCATTTAAGAAATTAAAAAAAGGTTTTTAATCGACTTAAAGCTGCCCAATTGATGCTAAACCCCAAGAAGTGCCAGCTATTTCAAGGTAAAGTCAATTATCTGGGTCATATAGTCAGTAAAGAAGGAGTGGCCGTGGATAGGAGAAAAATCGATTCGACTACGGCTTATCATTCGCAATCTGATGGTATGGTAGAACGAATGAATAGGACAGTTTGCAAGTATTTGACAAAGATGGTGTCCGATCATCAGTGAGACGGACCAATATCTTCCGTTCTTCACAATGGCCTACAGATCTGCTGTTAACGAATCAACAGGCCAGACACCAGCCAGAGCCCTATTCGGACGCGAGATGCGACTACCTTGTGATCAAGAGTTTGGGTGTCGACCTGGAGAAGACGTAGCAGGTAAATATTGTGTGATCTAATTACGAAGAAGAATGGACGATGTACACGAGTTGGTCCGTTCCCATCTCCAGATCGCTAGTGACCTAATGAAGAAACGGTACGATACGCAAGCCGAAAAGGGGTGTTTTAAGAAGAACGACAAAGTCTGGCTCTATAATCTCAAAAAGCGAAAAGGTTGTTCTACCAAGTTGCAGCAGTTTTGGGAAGGTCCATACCTCATTATGGAGAAGATTAATGATGTCATTTACCAAATAAGCAAGATTCCGAGGGGAAAGCTGATGATATCACACCCAATGACGTATAATATATAGACTACGCAGTCCCCTATTCTCGCTATAGAATGAAGTGTCCGAAAGATCTCGGCTCAAGGTTGAAGGTATGTTTATCATAACAGCGGCGTGCTCATTTATATGTTAATGACAATAATTATTTTTTTAATTAAAATTAAATATTTATGATTTCTTTTTGTTCCCGTCTATAAGAGAAATAATTATTTTGATAAAATAGTATGGCATTTTACTTAAATAGTAAGTAAATAACTCTCAACATTTTAAAATAAAATTTGCTGTCACACAAAATGGAGAAAATGTTTTCATACGTCCATGATGTTTTCAAACACAAGATCAACTTCGTGATGCTTCGTAAGAAATCATGAACTTCGTGCATCTTCATATCAAAACAATAAACAATAACAAAGGTATTCATGTTTTGGAGACTTTTTAAAGCGTTCACCGAGTCTATATATTATACGTCATTGATTACACCATAACCGGCTGGCGTCTTTCGCCCTTTTCGAAGGTGACCATGACGAAGAAGTGGAAATAAACCACGTCCAAGATGTGTCTGACCTCACATTTGAGGAATTCATGGGTGCCTGTGGAGGTACCGGTAAAGCAAGACATGGTGTTACCAATGAAGAAAGGCAAGATCTATTCGCGCTTCCCGATGACTACTCACTGGCCCTTACCATCCCGGCCAGTATCAAAGACGCACCAGGTTTGGCATCCGTCTTTCGAACGAAGTTTGGTCGAGTTGCAGAACTTCCATGCCAAATGCCAGCTCCAGGTAAAACCTTGAAACTTCAAGATGCATCACGTTACCTTTTCTACCTGGTAACACTACCCATGACCAACCTACCTACCAAGATGTATGGGAAGCCTTACTTCAATTGAGAGCACGTATTAGAGTCCGACGTGCAAAAGTTAGCCATGCCAAAGTTGGAGTACCGCCAATTAGATTGGAGGGTTATCCGATATATGGTAGAAGAGATCTTTAAAGACACCGAAGTCCAGGTGTTAGTCTGTTGCAATCCGCATAGTTACTAGTGCGGAGAGAAAACCGTCCTTTGTCATTTTTATACAACTGGAAGTTGTAAAAGAGGGTCCAGTTGCCGATACCAGCATAACGTTCCAGTTCAAATCCCGACAAGGTTCCAGGAGGAACCATCTTTTAAGAGGGGGGCAATGTTACGATAAATTTTGACCCAAAACCGTAAACATATTTATTACTAATATTCTCATTTCTGGAGACGAGCTCATGTAAAAATACCAATTTTTAGACCAAGCGCCGCTCTCTCTAAGTCGAGAATACCATCGAACCTTCGACGATGTCCCATTTTAATACATGGTTTCATATAAATAACGGGGATTTTCATTGAGGAGATCAGTCAGAAAAGAAAATCGCGATCGGGTATTTAAATGTAACGATCGTCATAATAAATTATTATTGTAAGATAAATTATTATAAATAAACTTTAAATAAATTAAGTTTGTAAGTGTTCAATAAATATTGAACCTTTAGTAAATTAAAATAAGAATAATAAATTAGAATTAATAAAAACATTATTATATATATATATATATATATATATATATATATATATATATATATATATATATATATATATATATATATATATATATGTATACAGATTGAAGGAATTTAAAACGGATCATACAATTTAATATATGTCTGTTTGAACTGCATTCGAAATAGTGGACCAATATAAAACTTGGACAAAAATAAATCCATACCCGGTGTTAGACATTGTATAAAATATCGTTCAACTATCCGTCTCTTTTTAGAATGCACCATAGTCTAGAGCGCAGCTCAAAGTCAATGTTGCTAATCGCCGTGTAATCATCCGATTTGCGGATCTTTTTGAGATATCTTCTTCGTATCTTTAAATAAATCGGATATTTGCCTATATTTTTCATTGTATTTACCAATCTACTACAACAGACTAATAACAAAAATAAACTTAATGGTTTGTAGTTATTTCAGAAGTTTGTAGTTATTTTATAAACATCTAGTGGAATGATATTGGCAACACCGCTCAAAATCTCCATCTCCGATAAACGAAAGAGGGGCTTGCCTAAAGGCGGCCACTCACGATACAGCGGCGTTGTTCAACTTCGTTTTTAACTAAACACTTGCTTTGATCATAATATGCGAATGAAGAGTATGTACGAAAAAAAATTAACAATTTTAGAACATCCTATAAAAGAGAATTAAAATTAGCAGTGCAGTCCAGTAAATCGGATGCAGGGGTAGACGAGATTTAGTTTGCACCAAAATCTTGGATTCTTTGCACCAGAATCTATACACAAAGAATTTATACACAAAGTAAGAGACGCTAAAATGATTGTTTGAGTTGACATGGTCGAGAACCGAACAAATACTGCGGCGCAGTATGGTGTGTGGGCGCACCAGATATACCAACAAATTGAACAACGCCTCTGTCCGATTATATCGAACGACACCGCTGTACCGTGAGTGGCCGGCTTTATGAAGCGATAGGTGGTTTGACCACCTATGAATGAGTTCTTGAATTAGTTCAGAATCCAGCAGCCCGCTGAAGTATTGGATTTTTATAATATAATTATTTGACAACCTTTTGTTGGCCAACCACCTACAGCAGAATTGAGTCGAAATACATAATATTTCGTATGTTCCGAATTGATTTTGTTCAATCTGTATATATACATATATATATATATATATATATATATA